CTTGCAAAAACCTCTGTAGTAGCCAACACTACATATAGGGATAGATGAAATCTTCCCACATAGGGTTGCCTGCTTACCTATGCATTCAGAGAAGTCTTTGTAATTTTTTCAAAGAACAAAGACCTAACAGGGGTTCTGTGAATAGAGGAGGTATAGCTCAACATCATGATCTCTCCCTTCCAATCACACAAAATCTCATTCTGTGAAAAGAATTTAAGACCTTTACTGAATGGAGATGTTGCAGAGCAAGCAGCCTGCTATCATTTGTGTATTCTATCTGGAATTCTTAATCTCAGCACCAGATGTTCAGAGCTTACTATACTGTACAGGGTGAATGAAAGTAAGTATTACAGAACACTGTATTATACACACAATGCACAGACTTTATTAGAGCTAATTTATTTTTACAGTGAACGTGTCCAAATTTTGTTTGTGGCCAAAGTTCAGCTGTAAGGTCCTCAAACAATAAACTAGAAGCTTGAGAACTTTCCTGAAGGGACCATCCTGAGCACCATCCAGCCCTGAAGGCCCAGGACTGGCAATGCAATGACTTAAAGCCCAACTCCAGGAAAAAAAATATATTTGAGTAGTGCATTGTGTTTCAATTACCTTACTTGTCAGTCATGACTCCAATCACCTTTCCCTAAGCCATCCTGCAGTGTAATTGATCAGTCACAGTTTCCTCTATGAGTAAAGCTAAGATCTTGCTCTAAGAACCAGACCTTTCCTGCTTGATATATTCTTGGCACTGGTCTCCTAAACACACTTGTGATTTCTCCTGCCTCTGGAGCCTATAAGAGAGGACCTGGCAGCTGCAAGTGTCACCTCCAGCACTAGGAGGTGTGCACAACAAGCAGGCAGTAATGTGGACAATTGAAGAAGGACCCTGGGAAATAAACAGAATTAGAGAGATGGTTCATCATGTGACTTTGGCTTTAGTTAAAGTGGAACTAAACACATAAATTTGCCAAGAATGGTAATTGTCATATTTACTTGTGTTCTCAGCTAAACTGTTAAACCAACAAATAAATGGCTGGTGTCATAACCAAGCACAAGTGCAGCACCATGGCAGTTGCAGATTAAACAGAAGTTAAGATGGCTGCTTCCTTGGCTGAAAAGTATAGTGCTGTTTAGTTCCGCTTTAAGTAAAATGGGCATTTGGACAGTTTTTTTTTTCATATTACTGATTAGATAGAGGGGGGTGGCAGATCGTTTGCTAATATCCTGGAGTTGGGTTTAATCATAGCATATGTAATTTAATTTTAGCATTACAGAATACATTTTGTGTGTTCATTTGCATACAAGATATACAGCTCAACAGGAAATAATCAATATTCGTTAATTTAATGTTCCCCAACTTGAACAGAATAGATTAATTTTTGTCATTTAATTATAATGTTCTACATTTAGAGTTGGATGCATGATATGTACATGGCATCTGAATAAAATGTTTTACTTGCATGTTACATAAATATATATTTTGCAGCAGGTGCATTTGTATATAGTTAATTCATTCTGTGACAGTTTTTCATATATACTATGATATAACCTGGGAAACAGGTGAACATAGTTGGAAAAAGCAAGCATTGTCACAGCAATGTTTATACAGGAATGAATCATCTTCTTGGCTGTATTCCCAACTCCCAGATTCCTGCATCCCAGTCCCTACTAAATACATTATGGAAAAGCCTATTTAACAATCCAATTGGATTTCTTACTTATTTTAGAATGAGGAATGATACTCCAGGGTGGAGGGCTGAAGATTCACAGCATTCTAGACAGATAGAAAAGATCAGCAGGTGATTCAGGAATCCAGTGTCCACCCAAAATGTAATACCATAGTGACCAGGGGCGGACTGACCATTTGGGAACTCGGGCACTGCCCAAGGGCCCAGGGTCAGTAGGGGGCCCCATGAGATGCCCCTGGTACCTTTCATAGGCTTTTTTGGGTGTGGTTTGAGTGTGGGTGAGGATACAGGGGCCCCATGATCCCCTATTACCCGGGGGCCCCATGAGTTGTCAGTCCGCCCCTGATAGTACCCTATAATAACATTAAGCAAAAAAACTGAACCAAGTGGTATCCAGTAGAAAATTGTCGCATATATAATTTATTTATATTTTTGTTTTAAGCTAATAAACTGTTTTTATCTAATTTGTTCAAGATATCATATACTGTATGTGTGTTCCGTGCTTGGCCTGTACTACTGTTTTCAGCAAACGGTGAACCTGGTATGCTAGTCTAAAATGGGGATGGTATACAACAGTCTTTCCTAACCTTTGTATTCTTGAGGAACCCTTAAAATAACATGCTATCATCTCACCTTTTAGTGAAAAGTGTTAAAGGCTAAGTACACCTTTAACCATTTCCTGACTGCACTATAGCCAAAAGACGGCTACAGCGCAATTGGCTAGTTCTGGGAGGGTGTCCATGGATGTCCTCCCAGAAACGCACCTCCTGGGGCACGCACCGTGCACAATCTGGCCAATCAAAGCCGCCTTTTACCACGTGATCAGCTGTTTTCAATCACAGCTGATCAGAGAGTAAATAGTAAATGCCAGTCATCGGCAGTGCTCTCCTAATGCTGACAGCGCGTGAGGAAAAGAGAGCCAGTAAGTGGCATTTATCAGGGGGATATCTACACTGATCATCAGGGCACTGATTATCAGTAGTGCCTTGATGATCAGTGTAGCCCCATCAGTGCCCAGCAGTGCAGACAATAGTGCCCATCAGTGACCATAAGTGCTAGCTATCAGTACCCATCAGTGCTGGCTATCAGTGCCTCCTCGTTGCTGGCTGTCAGTGCCCATCAGTGCTGGCTATCAGTTCCCATCAGTGATGCCTGACAGTGCCCATCATTGCCACCTATCAATGCCCATCAGTGCCACCTATCAATACCCATCAGTGCGGCTTATCAGTGCCCATTAGTGTCACATAACAGTGTAGCCTCATCAGTGCACAATCAGTGCAGCCTATCAGTGTCCATCAGTGCAGCCTATCACTTTCCATCAGTGTAGCCTATCAGTGCCCATCAGTGAAGGAGAAAAATCACTTATTTACAAAACGTTATAACAGAAACTAAGAAAGACTTTTTTTATTCAAACTTTTTGGTCTTTCTTTTGTTTGTTTAGCAAAAAAATAAAAATCCAAGTGGTGATAAAATACCACCAAAAGAAAGCTCTATTTGTCTAAAAAAATGATAAACATTTCATTTGGGCACAGTGTTGCATGACCACGCAATTGTCATTCAAAGTGCATCAGTGCTGAAAGCTGAAAATTGGCCTGGGCAGGAAGGGGGTAAAATTTCCCGGTAGGCAAGTGGTTAACATAAATAAATGAACATATATTTGCAGAACAAATGCTATTATTATTAATAATAATAATTTTTTTTTATTATTTATTTGTGTTTGCAAAAGCAGCCAAGAAAACATTGCACCTGCAATCACTGGATCATTGATGAAGTGCCAGGCTTCAGCAGCTTCTTCCTCCAGCTCAATGTCTTTACTGAAGTATGCACTTTCAATTAGAGATCTGGAAGTGTCAATGGAATATGAGTATGGTTACCATTGTACTTGAGAACTATACTTGAGTCCATCTATACATTTTCTGCTAGAGAGCTGGAGGAAGTGACAACAGACTTCAATTTGTGCTTTATTATTGTACTTGTTTTCAATTGAGAGCTACAAGTTCATCTGCCACAGAGGCAGATGGGACTTGTAGTTAATATGCTCACAGCCCCGTACAACTGAACAAATTTCAAAACTGACAGCATTTGCAAGGAAGAACAAACCCTGCATGCTGTCAATGGAAGGGGTGGCTGAGGGAGGGGGTAGGGCCAGATTTACATATGTAAAATGTATGTAAAACCCAAAGCAGTATTACTGCACAGCATGAAATACACAGAGGTTTAAGAAAAATCTATTTGAAAATGTTTGTAGAATATTATATGAAAACTCAGTTACAGTATTTCTTCCTGGAGATTGTAGCCTGAGCCTGAAGTGTGTTTACCTGCACATTTAATTCCACATTTATATAAAATATGGTCTAAATAAGAAGGATTCCACTCTTACATGGTGGTCAGTATGTCAACCTTACAGACAGCTAAAAAGATCATTGGTGTCATGCCACTGGCTCTGGCTGGGAAATATGCAGGTACCATCAAATGAGAGGCCAACCTGTTACAGCTCAAAGAACCCCTAACAACCTCTGGAGAAACCCTGATGGAGAATAGCTGGTATAGACCTATATACATGTACTGTATATAACATATCTCTAAATGCTATACAAGTTATGTAAATGTAAAATTAAATATGTGTGTAACACACCCCAGGCATAGAACAAGCATATGCACAAGGCTCAGACTATGACCTCCAAGTAGGAATAACAGACAGAGGAGCATTTTGCAGAGTTTCACCTTGTTTTTTCAAATATTTGCTATATATATATATAGAATATATAGAAAGCTAATTTACTACTTGGTTATTTCTCATCTCGACTACTGCAACTCCCTTCTCACTGGATTAGCTTTACAGAGACTATACCCTCTTCAGTCCATCATGAATGCTGCTGCCAGACTCATCCACCTTACCAACCAGTGTCTGCTACTCCTCTCTGCCAACCGCTTCACTGGCTTCTGCTCACCCGACAAATTCAATTCAAAATACTAACAACAACATGCAAAGCCATCTACATCTCGACCCCCAGCTACACCACTAACCTAGTCTCAAAATACCAATTTGTTCTTTCCATTCCTCCCAAGACCACCTGCTTTCTAGCTCCCTTGTCACCTCCTCCCATGCTCACCTGCAGGACGTCACCATAGTTTCTCCCATCCTCTGGAATTCCTTACCCCAATCAGTCCAACTATCTCCTACTCTGTCCACTTCTAAGTGACCCTTAAAAACCCTTTCCTTTAGAGAAAACCTGCCTCCACCTAACAACTGTGCTTTTATTAGCTACCATATTTTTCACTCCATAAGATGCACCTGACTATAAGACACACCTAGATTTTAGAGGAGGAAAACAAGAAAAAAAATATTCTAAACCAATGGACTGCAGACATACTACAAGAGATGACCAGAGACTGCGTACATAGTACAGGAGATGACCAGAGACTACATACATAGTACAGGAGATGACCAGAGACTACAGACACACTACAGAAGATGACCAGAGACTGCGGACACAGTACAGGAGATGAACAGAGACTGCGGACACAGTACAGGAGATGACCAGAGACTGCGGACACAGTACAGGGGATGACCAGAGACTGCGGACACAGTACAGGAGATGACCAGAGACTGCAGACATAGTACAGGAGATGACCAGAGACTGCAGACATAGTACAGGAGATGAACAGAGACTGCAGACACAGTACAGGAGATGACCAGAGACTGCGGACAAAGTAGAGGAGATGAACAGAGACTGCGGACACAGTACAGGAGATGACCAGAGACTGCAGACATACAACAGGAGATGGCCAGAGCCTGCGGACATAGTAAAGGGGATGACCAGAGACATTCGTATTGCATGCTGTCTGGTAATATCATGGTGTGTTTTACATGTATTTTATATATGTTACTATTCACTCAGTGTAGCAAACAAAATTTGAACAGGACAAATGAATGCCACATCATCTTGAATAAAAGAGGACATGAATGAGCATTAAATAAGTAATAAACAAGTGTCAAGCATCATTTACTGAGTTCTTCTCACACTTGTTACCAGCTGGGAAGGCTTGGATTAGGTATCAATATCTCCTATACTGAAGGTGTAAAGAAATCAAGACTATAGATTTCTACAGACTGTTTGCACTTCCCCTGCAGATGAAACAGATGGAGAGGAATTCAGTGACAAGTTGAGGTATTTGTCAGAAAAGGTCGTTACCAGGCTGGTATTATTTGTTGCTTACTGCTGACATGGATGTAGACCAAGAAAAGTGGACCTGAAATCAAAAACTGACTTTTATTCTCCAGGTCCTAATTACTGCATCTAAGTTAAAAATGAGTTTTAGCCTTAAAAGAGAAGTTTTTTTTTTTAAGAAATCATACTTACCTAGGAGGATACAGCATCAGTTTGATGCTGCAACTGTTCCCGCTGGCTCAAAGACTGAGAAATGAGTGATCAAAGAATGCTACTCACTCATTCCTCAGTGCTCCATGAGCAGAGAGCTGGTGACTATCAGTTACCGCTCTCTGCTCTGCCCCCACCATGCTCGCTGGAGCACTTGGCTGTGGAGGGGGCAGGAGTGGCTGGCTCAGGCTCTCGGCGGATCACTGTGAGAGGCTGAGCCAGGTGCCGGTCTAGGGATATGGGTGGATCCCAACTTTAAAGTCACATTCTTTCCTCAGACTGAGTGACGACAGACTTTAGCCCACTGTCAGCTGAAACTGGGTCACAGGCAGGGGCGGGCTGACAACTCATGGGGCCCCTGGGCAATAGGGGATCATGGGGCCCGTGTCCTTGCCCAAACTCAAAAAAGCCTATGGAAAAGGTACCAGGGACATCTCATGGGGCCCCCTAATGATCCCGGGCCCTCGGGCAGTGCCTGAGTTTCCAAATGATCAGTCCAACCCTGGTCACAGGAGTGCAGAACAAACTGTGATCCACAGAAGTACAGCTAAATGAGCTTTGGCTTCACCTTTAAAGCTGATTTCCAGGAATTATAGTACTGCATGCTTACAATCAGTTCTGGGACAAGGTCATCTGATGCCCATGGCAAAAATATCAAACTATGCCCCCAGTATATTATGAATGAGTGCTAGTTTCTGCAAAGATCACCCTCAGCAGTGGTGCCAGTTTCCCAATAATAACCCCCATCATTGGTGCTAGTAATTGGAATAATGTCAGCTACATTGGTGGTCAATAGGGTTATACTACTTAACCCCCCCCCCCATTGCTAGCCCATTAACCTTCTTCCTACATTGATGGTCAATGACATAGTGCTATTTAAAATATCCCTCCGGATTGGTAGTTAGTGGCGGTGTGAATTAAACCCTTCATAGTGCAGCATGAAGGGGTTTTGTAAACACTGCTATTGGCCACTAAGGCAGCATGATGTGGGTTAAGGGCTCATTCAGGACAATCAGATCCATCCTCTGAACTGAGCCTCCATCTGCTACATGTGAATCCACCTTAGAACTGCAAACAGGCAGCCCAGAGAAGTGGAGGCACATGAAGTAGCTGCGCAGATACAATCAAATTTTGACATGAAGAAAGTAGCAAGTGCATGGATCCAAATGCACAGTGTCTGCGTTCAGCTCCATGCACCTGCTCCTGCCCACATTTCAAACTTTGTTATGCGATTGTGTTCATGCAGCCACTACATGTGCATCCACTTCAAAAGGTTGCATGCATGGTGGACGAGGTAGATTTACACAGCAGACAGCATCTCAGATTGGAGGACAAGTCTTATCACCCATCTGAATGAGCCCAAATAAACACTGCCACTAGCCAGCACAAAGAGGGTAATTAACATTGCCACTGGTCACTAATGAAGCATGAAGGGGTTATTACCACTAACACTAGCCACTGTTGCATTAGTAACCAGTGTCAGTGCTATTTAACCCAGTCATGCTGCATTAGTGGCCAGTGGTGTTGTTAATTAACCCCTTCATGCGGCATTAGTGGTCAGTGAAATTGTTTAACCCTGTGATGTTGCACTAGTGGCCAGTGGCGGTGTTAATGAACCCATTTATACTGTATTAGTGGCCGTGTTAACCCCTTCATAATGCAGCATGAAGGAGTTAACACTGCTACCGGCCACTAATGCACCTTGAATGGGTTAAATAAAACTGCCACTGGCTACTATTGCAGCAGTGGCCAGTGTTAGTGTTAATTACCCCTTCATGCTGCATCAGTAGCCAATCCCAGTGTTAATCAACCCTTCACCAATCATCCTTCCACCCCCACCCCAAGGATTTAATCAGTTCACTGTACACCAGAAATTACCTACACTATATTGCCAAAAGTATTGGGACGCCTGCCTTTATACGCACATGAACTTTAATGGCATCCCAGTCTTAGTCCGTAGGGTTCAATATTGAGTTGGCCCACCCTTTGCAGCTATAACAGCTTCCACTCTTCATGTTCATGTTGGAACAGGAAGGGGCCATCCCCAAACTGTTCCCACAAAGTTGGGAGCATGAAGTTGTCCAAAATGTCTTGGTATGCTGACAACTTAAGAGTTCTCTTCACTGGAACTAAGGGGCCAAGCCCAACCCCTGAAAAACAACCCCCACACCATAATCCCCCCTTCACCAAACTTTACACTTGGCACAATGCAGCCAGGCAAGTAGCGTTCTACTGGAACCATAAAACCCATCGGATTGCCAGATGGAGAAGTGTGATTTGTCACTCCAGAGAACACATCTCCATTGCTCTAGAGCCCAGTGGTGGCGTGCTTTACACCACTACATCCGATGCTTTGCATTGCACTTGGTGATGTAAGGCTTAGATACAGCTGCTCGGCCATGGAAACCCATTCCATGAAGCTCTCTATGCACTGTTGTTGTGCTAATCTAAAGGCCACACGAAGTTTGGAGGTCTTTAGCTAATGACTCTGCAGTTTGGCACTTGTGCACACTGTGCGCTTCAGCATGCACTGACCCCGCTCTGTCATTTTACGTAGCCTACCACTTCGTGGCTGAGTTGCTGTGATGATCTGATGATCTGTGATGATCTGAAATAAATTATAAAGCAAACAAGAAATTTGTTTGTATTCAATTGTTTCATTCACATGACATGATGTGATAGTTTGGGCCTTTTGTTAATGTTTGAAGCATCTGAAATAAAGTAAGGACACAAGAAATGATCCAAATCCATTTGTTTTTACGCAAATGAGCATAGTGTGAATATTTTAATGATTAGCCAATTCTTTTTGCATTAACATTTTTCATTAATATTATAAATACCTTACATATGAAATGGAAACATATTGCAATAAATACAGTAAGGTATAAATGTGAAATAAGACAATGATTGCTACTCATTGTATTTGGGTTGGATGGAACTGGATTCATTAGAATCTCTGAGTCTCAACATAAAGAATGAATCCAAAATTAATTTCTTTCCACTCGTTCTTTCAGATCCACACAGCTCCAGTGGATATCATCAGATCAGCTCATTCCATTTCTCTTTGAGGGTTGGACTAGCAGGGATGACTCAGAGTGCATAAGTAATCTACCGAAATAATGAATTATCACATTAACGTTGTTGTAAAGCCCAATACTCACCTGAACTCCCTCTCGATCCAACAATGTGCACAGGAGCCTCAGCTGTTCTGCGTCTCCCTCTCCTCATCAGCTAAGACACAGTAGCGGGAGCCATCAATCACAGCCAGTGAGCCAATGAGGAGAGTGTGGGGCCGAACTGCTACTCCATGTGTCTTATGCACGCATAGAGCGGGGCTTGGGAGCGAGGATGCACCAGTGCCCCCATAGCAAGCAGCTTGCTATTGGGGGCACTGCTCAAGTGGGAGGAGCCAGGAGCACTGATGGGGGACCTGAGAAGAAGAGGATCAGGGTTGCTCTTTGCATAACCATTGCACAGAGCAGGTAAGTATGATGTGTTTGTTATTTGAAAAAAAAATACCTTTAGAATCACTTTAAAGTGGTAGTAAAGTTAACTAAAAAAAAAAAAAGGGTCCCTCCTGCAGTCATAACGTCAAACTTACTTTTAGAAGGGATCCCCCAGAAGCGCCCTGTCAACGCTGACAGGGATTCCATCTTCACATGGTCTTCTTCTGGATTTGCGGGCACCGGCTGTTTGATTGGCCAAGCCGCAATGACGTCACTCCACACAGGCATGGCACGAAGTTCTGCAGGAACAGCACGGGTATGCCGTTCCTTCACAGTGCATGTGCTGGTGACGTCACCGGCTGCTGCTTTCTGGAATATCTCCTAAACGGTGACATTTTACTTTATAATAAAGCTTACCTACAGGTAAAAGTAGAAAAGCGGACTTTACTACTGCTTTATAATGAATATAGACAATCTTCTGGAATAACTTTCAAAAACATGAATTAATTTGGAACAACGAATATACAAAACTAATTCCAAAAACTAATCATTCTAACATAACGAATATGAATTAACAAATGTTTCTGTCATGCACATCTCTAACCAGCGTTCAATGAGAAGTCTAGCTTTCCTCTTTTTCCCCAAATTATACTTGCCTAGGTCGATGCTTCATCTGTCCCCTGCTGGCTCTAAGAGTGAGAACTCTGTGACTGCAGAGTTCTCACAGCCGCCCTATGAGCAGACAGCGGTGGCTGTCAGTCACCGCCAGGGGCGGAGTGACAACTCATGGGGCCCCCGGGCAATAGAGGATCATAGGGCCCCTGTGTCCTTGCCCAAACTTAAAAAAGCCTATGAAAAAGGTACCAGGGGCATCTCATGGGGCCCCCTACTGACCCCGGGCCCTTGGGCAGTGCCCAAGTTTCCAAATGGTCAGTCCTGCCCCTGGTCACCGCTGTCTACTCTACTCCCCCCCCCCCCCATCCTCCACACTCACTGGAGCACTGGCTGCGGAGGGGCTGAGGCAGGTGCCGCTCCAGACTCTGGGGTGAATGTCGACTCTAAATTCAGGCATCAGCTGA